ATGGGAGACACCAGTTTCATACCCAACCAGACAGACTTCTGTCAAATATTTACATTCAAGGCCATATATATATATATATATATATATTATATATATATATATATATATATATATATAATATATATATATAATATTATTTATTTTTTTGAAAAGGTAGCCCAGCGAGTGGCAGGGAGAGACTTAAAAAAGGCGAATAAGTACACTGGGGATCGGCAGAGCTTGTGCGAGTGGTGTAGCCCGAGTAATCTCGGGCTTGACACTGGAACGATTGAAGAATGTATTAAGGCAGTTTGTTATATAATGAGCAATACATTTTTAGACAAACAGGTTACCCTTCAGTTTTATACTTGAATGAAGTGGACAAAACAAAGGAGGGGTATATAATCTGCTTTTCACCAGTCATCCACGATATCTTAAGGCATGAGGACACCATTGAAATAAAAATTTTCTTCCCACCCCTCCCCCTTCCCAAAAAAAATTTACCAATTTTGTTTCGTACAACCTCAGACACTTAACTGTCCCAAAAATATTCACCTCTCTGCCTCGAGCCATTTTATAGTTACAGGCTGATTCAAAGAATAAATCATGCAGAAACCAAGGTGGGAGTAAAATTTAATAGGTTTTTCTTTCTTCCTTGTTTAATATTAGTGACATGTCATCTTAATATATTATTGCATGCATCATTATTACATTGTGAAAAACACGTTATTGTATAACATTTCACTTATATTTTGCTTAAAGGTCTAACAGTGCTCTGATTTTGCAAAGCACTCCAAGAGCCTCATGACACTTATAGGGCTCTTCGAACACCATTCAAGCTATTTTTGTACTTGCGGGTTCCATAGACTGAAGCAAAAAAAGATTACTGCAGCAAGAACAGTAGTGAGCAAGCATTTTGAGGCCATTCGGTCTAGAAAATTCAAAATAAGGGGGAAAAAATGCCAACCCTGAACTTACTTTTTGCGAGGTTAAAATATCAGAGTTCACTTGCCACTGAGTTTGAAATGCACCACCAATGGAACAAGCTGAAAGAGCCTACTTGAGAAAAGCTTGCACACCATTGTTGCCTATTGCATCCGGTGTAACAATCGCACCATTACCACAGTAACAAACAATGTGGTGACCCACACCCTGAGCGAAAGTGTGAAACCAATAACAATGTATCCAGCAGAACAACACTCACTTTTTCAATGCCATAACATTCATGAGTGCATAACATATACAAAATAAGGCTGCTAAGGTGGAACACCAGCAAGAAGAAAAACTTGCACAGAACGGCAAACCTCATGAGCACATTTTCCCTTGCTTAGAGGCCACAGCACAAAAAGCAGGCAGTGCCCCTACAGCGTTTTCAAGTTGCACAGCTTGTATTTCTTATTTTCGTTGCAATGGCGGCTAACATTCAGCAAAAAATCATGCATAATAAAATGGATCCTTTTTGTTTACTACGTACCTTCGATTTCTTCAAACATTAGATTTATCTATTCAAAGGTCTGCCCTCTTCTCCATCACTTCCACCAGCAATAGTTTTGGCAAGTGCTACCATGCATCGATGGGGCCAACAGCAACTTAGAGATTTCTTTGCGTGATCAAGAATAATAAACCTATTTACATCAGTGCTTCAACCCACGATAAAATTATCCCTTGCCATCAGTCTATACAAACCACAAATAAAAAATAGGTGCTTTTAAAAGTGTTGGGGGCTGTTCACAGTTCAGCCTATCAGATGCTGTCTACAAGTGTAATGCAAAACCTTCACTGTTTCACAGCAAAATGGAAATGAACGTGGTTTATACGCTCTTAAAGATTAACATGTAAGGAACCATAATGGTTTCAAGAAGGCATGCTGCCATTCCTCTGATGATAGATGAGCCGAAAAAGGCAGAAGAAAAAGATGAACGGCCGATACACAGCTAAAACATAGCAAGGCAGAAGCTCATGGAAAACTCTGCTACAAGCCTGAAGCCCTATGGCATTTTACTAATGTGCAGATTTCAAAGCATCAACTATTTTTTTATCCTTGTTTTTCTAAAAATGCTGATTTTCTCGAGTTTGTGCTGCAGCAACAATGATAATGTTTTATTCATTCAACATTATCTCTTGAAACCTTGCTGGCTATTAATTTTAAATATAAAACATGCGATATGATTACTGCACACTTAAAATTTCATGTTACAGCCTATTACCTCAGAATATAGGCTTGCAAAATGCCTCTGTGGACATTTTTAGTTTTTAAGAGTTTTACAAACACATTTACTATTCTAATTCACTGTACAGCTTATTAATAACCCTGGATAGATTTCAATGTACTTTGGGACACACCATTTTTTTTTTTTTCATATGTCGAAATTAAGGCATGAGGGGATGTTTTGGTGCTGAATGAAGCTGTATACACAGTTCTCCTAGTAAGGGACAACTGCACCCTAATTTTACCCCCTAAAATAAAAATGTTTAGAAAACGCTCTACAGTATCATCTGACCTTAATAACTGAGCATTCTTTGGGACTCTGCAATGCTAGTCTAAAATTTCTCAATTATGTATTGTAAAGCATCCAATGGACCATTTTTCAAGAGGGCAGCCTGCGCATGTGTGGCAGTGATGAGATGTGCATCATGTTTTTCGAGGGTTCACACCATAGTGATGGCAGCAAATTGAGCGGCACCTGGCATTGCAGGTTTGGAAATTTTCCCCAAAAATACCAAACACCCGAGATAGTCAAGTGCCTAGCGGCAGGCAACTTTAGCTACTCTTAGCACGCGGAAAAAGGTCCACTGTCGGTAATTAGATAAACATAAGCAGGGACATTTTTTGACACAAGAAAATTAACTTTGTGGCAAATGTAAGGCTTTTACTGATTACAGTGTTCTTCGCATCACTACTGTGATGAAGATGTGAATTTTTTTTTTTAATGGCAGCAGTTTCTAACACAGAGTCTGTCATGTTCCAAGAGCTAAAGACAACAGCAGCAACCTGGAACTCTTGACAGAGGGCACTCCTATCTGTTTTCGTTAGCCCCCAAAGACTATGAAAAGCAAAAATCCCTTCAAAAGAAAAGGTACCTGGTTTAGATACCAATCCAGAAGTACCACACCTTCAAGGATAAGATCATCAAAATGTCAAAAACACTATATCAACAAGAGCTGCTAGGGATACACCCTATTTATTAAAGTTTTATTATTTTTAAAGACTGTGTTGCCAAATTACTCTCACTTTTAATATTGGTAAATGTTCTTAGCTTACGAGAAAGTGCAATCTAAAGTTGTTCCCACGGGCATGTGCAGCCTACAAATTAGGGGTAATACCGATGATAGTGCAGGAAAAACAGAGGCAATCTGACTCTCCTATTATCATTGCATGAGGAGCGACACAACAGAGCACTGTGCACGTGACTCCACCAAATTCTGACCTTCAACTTGCCTACCAAGACATCAGTGTTCTCCATCAACTTATACCTTAAAATAGAGGCCGAATTGCCAGTTATTTCAAAGGGATTGACAACTGGCCAGAATGTGTCACAAGTCACTGTTGGATGAGGAAAGACTGAATTATAGCGGCAGAATCAAGTATTCTTTTTGTGATTTGAATAGGACTTGGATTTTCGAATTCCATTTTAAAATCACGAAAAAAAATTTCAAGCAGAAAACACAGAGAGAGAGATGCTTTAATGAAAAGAAAAGGAAGAAATGGGAAAAGCAAGCACAAAAATCTCAAATGAAACTTTATGACAGAAAATTGTCAAAAGGTGGACATGACAAGCTTTAAATATGGTGCGCCATCCAATAGTGTTCAAAGTATATTAATGAAATGGTGCACTTCCTAGAGTAGTTATTTTGCAAGACATTCAAAGCGCACAACGAGATCCTTGAATGTGAATGCTTTTAATTATTGTCCTTTATAATGCAAATAAAAGCGAAAATGCTTATGCAAGCCCGTCGAGCAACGCAAAAAATAAATGCCGCGTTACACACAAGTGTGAGTGAGAGAACGAGACTGCTTCAGAAGTAGCACCGAATTTTTTTTGCAAATGCCACGCAGTCATTGTTTACCTTCAGGCGCCATGACAGCCTAATTAAAAATATTAGCATACATAATTAAATTCGCACAAGCAAGACTAATTGCCACCTCAATGCGTGCCAAGATTCCAACTGCCAACGGGAACCTGCAACCAGACGACGGAGGAATTATCAAACTTCAGCAAATGGAAGCCTTCCGATCGCCGTGGCAGCCCGGAAATTAGCAATCCGACTATCAGAGGACCCAAATCACGAGACTAACATATGGAGCCGAGCGCAACTGCCTTACATCACGGTAACGGGGGAGGTTTCATTCAGCGTAACGAAATCGATCGTGCTTGCGACGTGCCTCTCACACACCTACAACGGCACTGGTTACCGGCGTTAGCATCGAACGTCCTCGCTTGTACGAACCGTACAAACGACTTGACGACAAGAATTTCTCTCCCGATGAGAAACACAACCGCTAATAAAAAATGAAAAAGAAAGCAAAGGATAAGGAAACGAGAGGGAGAAAACATCAACATACGCTGTGCTAAGTTTTCCTTTTCGTAATTTTTTTCTGTCACCATTAAATGTCTAGCAATGCGATCGGAGAATCCCAGATAATCGGGGTGTCAGTGGCTGATCACGTGAAAGATGACATGAACATGACAACCAGGAATGCAGGTCAATAGGGAAATTATACGAATTCCATCCGGGCGTAACACGTTCGAAATAGAAAGGTGGCGTTACGGAAGGGCAAAACGAGAAGTCAGGTACCTTTGGCCTTCACGCCATCAGTAACATTTATCGACGAGAATACCAATTACCCAGATGCAAAGCGCCAAACATTATTGTGTGTTCATTACGACAAAATCGCGCAATCCTGCAGCGGGCCGACTTCGTGCCTCGAACCGTTCGATGAATCACACGTAGCACTCTCAACCAGTGGCCCCGTTGCACTCACAAACCGATCGTGGGACAAGCAAGGACTAATATGTTACCTTTCAGTCCCTCACGGCTCAAATCCGGCGATGATTCAGTGTACACATTCCGCTCACAGTCCACACTTTGATTCATTAATTCCGACACCCACCATCCACCATTATTGTTGTTGTTGCAATTGGTTCGCGTTTCCACCGCTACAGCCGCTGCCACCTCAGCTGTATGACGTCATGGCTGGCGCCTTTTACAAAAGCCCGAAGTCGGTGTACCCTGGTTGGGCACTGCACTTGGCAGGGCTGGCCCGAAATCCTAGCTCCAGCCCGGCACGCTAGCTGCATAATAAGTTGTCCATTCGGGGCGCGGAATTGCTTCGGGCTCGGATCGGGATTGAGACTTAGTTGCATTTCTATTTGAAACTCCCCGCATATTGTAGCCTGCTGTCTGCAAGAGGCGAACCCTGAGGGAGCCCGCCTGAAATTTATTTCTGAAAAGGGTCTAACACCCCCAGCTCTTCACTCACGCTCGACTAATGTTTCCGATTGCGCAAACTCCCAATTGAATTTATTATAGAACATTTACTCCACGAATAACCACGGTACCCTTCCATCAATGGAGAAGCCCGTTTTCACGACACTATCAACACTATTAAGTCGATGTTCGCTCGTCGATAACACCTCAAATTCCCCATATATGACACTCATAGGCGTGCGCACAACAGGGGCAAGCCCACACTCCCCTTAATCGACCAGTGAGGGAGGGGCGCGAAGTATGCCCCATACGTTTACTCCACTCAGTTATGGCTATACTCAGGGTTTTGACAATAATGGCGGCCGAAGGCCCCTGATAACTGATACTGCATGCGTCCCAAGAACTGTCAATATCCCGTTTTTTTTTTTTTTTTTTTTGCACCAGCAAAGCCAGGGACCAAAGGCGGACCATTATGAAAAGCACGTCATTGCTTCATTTTCTTTCTTTTCTTTTTTTTTGCATTCTTCTTTTGACTCAATTAATCATGAAGCCATATCCCACCAGTGCGCACGCCTGTGTAAAAGACCAATAGCCTAGGCCTTTGCGAGAAGCACGTCATCGCTTCATTTTCATTTTTGCATCCATTGCGGATCTCCCTTTCTGTTAAACTACCTTTTGCGCAAATGTTTTTGACAACAGACGAAACAGACGTGGACGGATGAAAACTTATTCCAACTGAATCTAAGTTTGACAAACTAAAACACCTATGTCACAGGTGCGCGTGCATCAGCTACTCCCTCACCCCAGTTGTAGTGTTTTGCCCAAGGAAGGCCATTTACTTTTCTGTCAACGGCGTCATGCTCCTGCATTGCTTTCCTTTTCAGGCGTAGCCAGAAATTTTTTTCATTGGGGGGGAGGGGGGGGTATACAGACAAGACGGGGAGGGGTGGCACAGGCATCAGCTTTCCTTTATGACGTGACTATCGGTGGTAGTTTGAGCAGATTGTGTACGTGTATATCAAAGTCATGACACCCCCCCTCCCTTGCGTAAGTAAAAAAAAGTGAAGTAATCGCGGTACTGAAGGACAGGTAGAGTGACCGTTTGGAGCAACGGGCTCTAGACGCACCATTGAATGGACTAGTCTTCGAAAACGCATCACTGCGATGACCTGCCCGATCGGAGAAGACATCGTTAATCGCTTATCTCTGGTGAGTCTGGTGAGCGTACATGGCGTAGTCCTCGTCGTGGCGAAGTGCGTTTCACAAGTCAAGGACGGCTCCGCTTACGAGGAATGAGCACGTTTTTGTACATTCGTAATTGCATTTCTCTTTTGCTTACTTTTGCTGAGCGAATAATTTTCTACCGTCGATGTTTGTGACTGCATGCCTACGGGAATGATTTTTATGTTAAGCCCTTAAGTCAAGCAGCCCTGACGCAGTGATAGCTTTTTGTTAACATTTTTTTTTTACTTTACTGCGCGCATCTAAGCATGCTTGCGATATGCAGTAAGTTTTTTTTTTTTCTAAGCTGTGCTGCATGTTGGCAACACGATTTCGCACGCGTTATTTTTTGGACAGACTTTCTCGCAATCATAGTTTACATTACAGTTGCACTGTGACTTTTGATAGCAATAAAGTGCTCTAATTGTAGAGGTTTTATCGTGCAATCTGCGAAGGCAACGTAATCATTGTTGCGAAATGTTCAGTTCGTCTCAATCAAAAATGCACCTGGTACCAGACTATACCTACTGTGATGAGTGAAGAAAACGACAACAACGGAAGTGCGGGGCAAGGCGCGTGTAATGTGCGCGTGAGTGTCAGCGAATCAGCTGATGACCTGTGGCGGCCCATAGAGGTGGCGTGCCACGATTGGGCCACGTGTGACCATTACGTGGCGGTAAGCTTTGTGACTGGGGACTAGCCGAAGCAGCGGTAGACGGGAGACAGCGGGCCGAAGCGTTGGACGCAGGCGATCCAGGTTCCGGCCAGGGAACGCGGCCGTCCACGCTGCTGCCGTCCAACTACCAGCTGGGGCGGCGTTGCCGGCACGAGTACTGCATCTCGGGGCGCGGCCTGGCCTGCTGTTCTCTTCCTTGCCGAGGGCATCGCGGATCTCGGCGAGGCGTCTCCACGGTCAGCCGTTCCACACAGCGATGAACGTGGCCTGGCTAATGGTCACGGTTGCGTCGAGCATCGCGTCTCGGCGCACGCTCTTCGCTGGACGGGCTGGCCATGCCCCGCATGGAGCATCGCGTCTCCGATGCGGGTTGACTGCTCCGTGGCCGCACCCACGCCATCAAGCGCCGGTGTCACCAGAGCGTCGCACTTCGGCAAGGGACGAGCCGAAGCAGCGGCAGACGGGAGACAGCGGGCCGAAGCGTCGGACGCAGGCGATCCAGGTTCCGGCCAGGGAACGCGGCCGTCCACGCTGCTGCCGTCCAACCACCAGCTGGGGCGGCATTGCCGGCACGAGTACTGCATCTCGGGGCGCGGCCTGGCCTGCTGTTCTCTTCCTTGCCGAGGGCATCGCGGATCTCGGCGAGGCGTCTCCACGGTCAGCCGTTCGACACAGCGATGAACGTGGCCTGGCTAATGGTCACGGTTGCGTCGAGCATCGCGTCTCGGCGCACGCTCTTCGCTGGACGGGCTGGCCATTCCCCGCATGGAGCATCGCGTCTCCGATGCGGGTTGACTGCTCAGTAGTCGCACCCATGCCATCAAGCGCCGGTGTCACCAGAGTGTCGCACATCGGCAAGGGACGAGCGAGACGTTCTGCCGGGCGAGACGCGGGCGTGTGCACGGAGGACCACGGAGCCGGGCAAGGTCCAGGGTGGCCGAGGATCCAGGTGCCAGGGGAGCTGCTGGCTGAATCGAGGATCGCCAGCGGTGCCGAGCCGTACCGAGAAACGTGCGAAAAAGAGCTCGAGGGTGGAGGCCACGAAGGCAGAGGAAGCGGTGCGCCGCTCGAGAGGACGAGTTCCTGGCAGCGTTCCTGAGCCGGACGTGGGACCCGTACGTGTCGGCCAGGTCGAGCTCCGGTGTGTCGGTTCGAGGTAGAGTCCGTCGGCCTGTACAAGGTCCAAGGACGGGGCCAGCTGAACGGCTCCTGCCTGGCTGCAGTGGCCGCGAGCAGGTTCGTGGGCGAGGCCTACAGGGTGTGGTCCTCGTAAGCCGTGGCCTGATCCTGGACCTCCGGAGTTGCGACCCTGACTGCTTGGTTGGCCGCGACGTCCGACTCAACGGCGCTGCACACGGTAGCGTATCCGTGCGCCGCCAGCCGTTCCACCCATGCCATGAAATAAAAAGTTCATGTTAATCCTTTCTCGTCCGCTATCAACAAACATAGTGACGAACGTTCTTTAACCACTACACCTACTAATATAGAAATAGCTTGTTCGCTATAAAACTTAAATACGCGCAAAAATGCGTTATGCTCTCGTTTTGATTTCGTAGATTTCGTCGATCTACTCCCTGAAACGATAGCGTTGCGGCAAGGTGGCTTCCTTCGTTTGCACGCGCGCAGCCGTCATTTCCTTTTACGTCAACAGATTCCGAACTGTACAAAATATTTCACCGCGCAGCATAGATACATGCCATGTATCAGACGCGTAGCCGGAAACTTTTTTCGGGGGGGGGGGGGGGGCACCTTGATTTCGGGAGGGGCGCCCAACTAAAATGGTCGATTTTCGCTGTCTATGCCATGTCGGAAAACAAATTTCGGGGTGGGCGCACGTGCCCGGTGTTCCACCCCCTGGCTACGCCCCTGCCATGTATACACTGTTCTAACTATAGTATACGTCCATTCACGTTTCCAGCACTTAATTACGCCGGCGAAAACAGGAGCATGCAGCCTCGTACCACAGAAAAACTCGAGTTCACTAATGATGAAGGAGTGAACTGCGGTCTTCTTCGGAGCATAGAGCAGCATAATAAGTATTCCGGACAACGTTTGCTAATGACGCTATGGAAACCAGGCGCTAACTATAGCTTTCCCTCAGTTAGTAATCGCACACTGAAGTTCCAACCTTTCTGGTAAGATATGTTTTCCTGGCTGGTGTATTCCAAATATCAGGAGAGAGCTCTATGCAAGACGTGTGCGCCTTTCAGTAGAAAAGAAAGTTCAGGCAAGGAGACTCGCCAAGTTTTTGGTGGCATGGAATTTTTGCGTTCACGCGTTGGAAGAACGCGCTCGAAAATTGAAAAAGATCATCAGAACTATTCCGGTGTGTCATGTGTCCCTTTGCTGCGTGAAACGTTGCTTGCACAAAGTTTATTTCATTTCTCTCAAAAATAATGGTTACTGTGTACAATGTTTTCAATTTTACATGATACTGTAGTGCGGCGCTATAGCGGCCAGCCGGCCAGAGAAAAAGACAACACGCGCTGGTGGCCCGTGGCGCGAGGCGCCTAGAATGCTCGTATGAGCCAAGATCTTGTTTGCACAAGGAAATAGAAAAATTATCATTGGATAAAGTCAGAGACTTCGTACATCTAAGATTTTGCTGGAACAAACAGTGGTGTGTATCTCGGCAGTTAGAAATTACAATCACCAGATTACGATGCAGAATTCCGCATCTGAATTACTACCTACATGAAGCTGGACTAACAGCATCTCCGTTGTGTCTCTTTTGCAAGGAATCGGAATCAATAGATCATTTCTTTTTATCCTGTCAACGTTATGCTTATCAAAGTAAAAGATACCTGGTCGA